TGGTTTCTAGGTCTGCGTTTATGAAGAATGTGATAAGCCTAGCTTGTTTATGAAAAAACGCTATGGATTGAGAATAAAGAAATACGAGCAAATGTTTTCATATATCTATTTAACTTTTTTACCTGGAATTTTGAGAATTTTTTCCTTAACTTATTTTTGTAACATCCCCCATCGCCTACCACTGTGGCTCAGTATTGTGTACATCTGATAAATAGTAATTCAGAGGAGTCTAAAACTTTAAACACGTCTTCCATACGTTTTATAGAAGTATTCTTACTGAATTTCTGACAGAAACCTCTCTCCTGTAAATTTATGGAGGATCCTCAAACTCCTTTCTCTCTCCCCCTAGGGAAGAGCAGGAAGAGACTTCTGCCATCCGCGTCGGCTTCGTCACATACAACAAGGCCCTCCATTTCTTCAATGTCAAGAGTAATTTGGCCCAGCCTCAGATGATGGTGGTGACCGACGTGAGCGAGGTCTTCGTCCCTTTGCTGGATGGTTTCCTTGTCAACTATCAAGAATCCCAATCTGTGATTCACAAGTAAATATCACGTGTTTCGTAATTTAGGTACAAATCAGGTGTCTGTTTTCTTGATTCAATCAGACATCATTTTGTTTCGCTGTTAGCAAGGGGATTTAGCGCAGGGATTGTAAAATTATCATTTGTGTTAGCTCTGTCTTTTTAATGTAGACCACTGTCTTTAAAAAGGAGATTTATTTACTGCCCATGTTCAACCCGATCAGTCCCTTCTCTTTGCTGGAAGGGTAATGAAAGGAAGCTATTTCCTGCCTGTGGCTGAGTGCATCCAGTGATGACGACAGTAACTAAAGGACTGTTCAAAAATTTATAGTCTCCGAGGTCAGAAATGCAGTGAATTGAACAAATAGCTACAAAGAGTGTGATTTTGTAAATGTTCCAACCAAATCCTAAGCGTCGGTGCCAAACCATGCCAGGATATAATTCCTTGAGGAATGGCCTGAGATCCACCCTCAGGTGTTCAGGTGTTCAGGACGAAATGAATGGCAGATGTGTGAGAGAGGGCTGGAAAGGTGACTGATTTATTTCTTGAAGTTTATTGCAGATCTGCTAAACATTTAACACCTTTGCTCATGCATTCCTTACAGTTTGCTGGACCAGATTCCCGAGATGTTCGCGGACTCCGCTGAGAACGAGACTGTCTTTGCCCCTGTCGTCCGGGCCGGCATGGAGGCCCTGAAGGTGAGCAGAAGCCCCTTAATGCTAGGAGGTGAGATCAGCAGATAGACACACACACAAGGCAGGTGTCACCTGTGAAGGAGCCACTGCCTTCATTAACACGTGCAGGTTGCTAGAGGCTGCTTCCCACGTGCCCACAAATCTCGGGAGAAAACGGGCCAAAACCGGCTGGCTCCCAGCGGTCGTGTCCCAGTGCGCCAGCATCTGAGCGGCCGATTCCAGCAGCGTTTCCGGTCCAGCTCCTCCCTGTGGCTCTGTGTGGACCTTATATGACCTATTTAGAAATATTTCAGCAGTATCTGAACTACCAGATATGAAGAGAAAAATCCCCACTTCGCCCTCTTTTTCCTTGGGGTTTTTAAACATGCAAGGGCAAGGCCCATGACTGTCACCGGCAGATGGGAGGACTGCATCGGGCCTCACAGAATGCCAGGATCGAGTACATGCCCGTGTTTGGTGAGGCAGTGTGAGGTCCACTGTGCCAGCTTCTGAGTTCCTCAGTGTGGCAGGAGACATGTGGCAGTTCTACGAGACATGATGTTCATGACTTGTGGTCCCCCAAAAAGGCAGCGGGGCGGGGTAGGGGCAGAGAATCGCTTTGGAAAGCCCAGGCCCACGGCCAGCGAGCCCCTCGGCCC